GAGATGAGAGAAAGAAAGAGCGAGGATCTAGTTTTTGATCGACATAAACCTATTAGTGAGTGAATGAGTTAAGCCAAGAAAAAAAAAAGAAAAAAAAGTGAGTTGGGCTTGCAAGCCAAGGGCTAGGCTGAGATAGCCCAAAAGAAAAAAAAAAAAAAGAAAAAAAGAAAAAGAAAGAGAAAGGAAAGAGATGAGAGCGAGAGGATCCTAGCTTAGTGGGCACGGCCCTATCATTCGAGGGTCCATTGATCCCAAAAGCCTAATACCTTAATTTTAGTCTTTTTTTTTGATAAATTAACTAGGAAATTTCTTTTATTTATGCTTTTTTTTTAATTTTCTTCTTAATTTAGATTTTGCATGTTTAATTTCCTTGAATTTATTTAGGTGATGTTTAATTTTGGAATTTATTTTAATAATTAGCTAAGGTAATTGATAGATGGATGAATTATCGAGTCTCCTAATTCTTAGTGACTAATGATGATTTCGACCAATAATAAAAAAATAAAAAAAAGATGAAAAATGAACAAAAAAAAAAAAAGAGGAATCTTATGGAAAATATAAAAGAAAAAGAGAATACTTAGAAAAAGAAAAAGAGGAAAAAATATATATATAAATACACTAGGTGAAAAATTAACAAAGTCTCTTACTTAATATGAACTGAAGTTAGCCCAAATCAATCACATTTAGTAATTAGGTTGTTATATGATATATTGATTATGTCGAGACTTAAATTGAAAGGGTCCAGATGATTGGTTCAACATGATGCCACAAACAAAAATAATATATATATGTCTTAGGGAATAAAACTTAAAATTTTGACTAGGATTAAGTTTGCCAAAAATGGAAATTTTTAAGAGATAAATTTTAGGACTAAACTAGACGTGGTAACATTTCTAGAAAATGATATTTTTGAGTGATTGATATCTTTTCAAAGACATAACCAACTCCTTACCCAAGAATCTCCGAACTAATGTCGATTTCGAGTTTTTATTTCCTTTAATAATATGTGGCAACTCCAAAATTAATAAATTTCTCACATCCCAAAATAAATAAAATTTTCAACAAGACAAATCATAAATTTAAATTTCTCGAGCCCCATGAAATTTGAGTAGCAACAAGCTATTTGGGGTAACTTCGAAAGTATTTATATTAAAATCATGTGAATGATATATCTTAAAGAACATAAAATATAAAATATTTTATTTAGTTATGTTTAAGATTTGAAGAGCAATTAGATATATTGTTGTGTATTGAACCTAAAAGTGTCGAAGACCCCGTGCATTTTGAGGTGAAATAAAGTTGGTGATCAATGCTCGCGATGGATCTAGGAGGATCGAGAATTGGGTTTAATTTCAATGGTGTATATGGGATAAATGTTGGTCTCTATATTTGCATTCAAATATGATATGTATGTTTGTATGAATTATATGATTGATTTCAATCTTAAGTGTGCTTTGCCAAATAGGTGATATTCGTAACCAATACGTGATTACCCAATTGTTACGTTCTCTAAAATGAAATCGATGGTGGCTTTCCATCTATTTGATCAAAGCTTCCTGTGACTTTTAAATCTTTTTATTTCAATGATTTTTTTTATGGGCTTGAGTCATAAAAGACTCATTATTTTCATTTTAAATGATTTCTTTATGGGCTTGAGCCACAAAGGACTCATCATGTCCATTTTAAAGGATTTTGTTATGGGTTTTAGTCACTTAGAGACTCATCATTTTCATTTCAAATGATTTTTTTATGGGCTTGAGTCATAAGAGACTCGCCATTTCCATTTCAAACTATTTTTTTTATGGGCTTGAGTCACAAGAGATTCACCATTTTCATTTCAAGTGATTTCTATTATTTGACTTTTTGCTTAAGTCACAAGAGATATGCTATTTCATTTCAAATGAGCTTAAGTCACAAGAGACTCATTATTTCCATTTCAAATGATTTCGTTATGAGTTTGAGTCATAAGAGACTTACAACTTTTATTCGATAGAACATCTCTTTTATGGGTTACGGTAGTGAGGACTCGTCATTTTCTTGCCAAATGATTTTTTTTTATGGGATTGAATCACAAGAGACTCACCACTTTTATTATGTCAAAACATTTACGTTATGGTTTATAGTCACAAAGGACTTGCCATTTTCATTTTGATGATTTCATTAATGGGTTGCAATCACGAGGATCTCGTCATTTTCTTTTCAAATGATCTCTTTTATGGGTTGTAATCGCTAGGAACTCACTATTTTTATTTTATTTAAATGATTTTTTTTTAATGTTATTGGTCGCATTCCACTTGTGTAAATAGAGTCACCGATGACCCCTCCCCTGCCCCATCCTTTATTTGTATGAATTGAAATTGTCATGTGACTTTTGATTTATATAGATGAAGTTACCGATAATTTTTCAATTACATCAATATGAGCTCGTAATCTTAAGAGACTTGCCTTTTGCCAATACGGGTTTGCAATCACCGGGGTTTTAGCTAAAATTCCAATTCCTATCCACCTTTCGCCTTTTAAGTATAAGTATTGGCCTTGGATCGACCCGAACTATGAATTACTATGCTATTTTCTCTAAATATAAATTTACTCAAATAGATATAGAAATATAACATAGTAAAAGTAGCATTTTGTTTTCACATGCAAACAATGTAGTATATCTTAGTTAAGACTTGGATGACGGTGATGTTATATTTTTTTCATATATAATCGACCCCTTATCCGGATATCTATGGAGACTAGTTTGTTTATAGTTTCCTAGTTCTCTTTGATTAAATAGGTGGGGACTCCCTGTTCTCACGCTTTCCTCGCGAGCCCCGTTGACAAACAACATGTCATCTATATTAATTAGATTATCATTAATGAAAATTTTTAAATTTTTTTTCTAATTGAAGTATTTTTGTTGGGAAATTCATGCCGACATAACTATTAAATTACTATGTTAGCATGCTTACCTACCCATCACGTTAGCATGAATATTTTATTTTATTTTTAATCAAGTATTTTTACTTTTATTTTTAAAAAAATATATGTACTTCTATATTTTTTTATTTGGTTATCCGTATTTTAATTTTTTTATGAGTCTTATTAATTTTGAAATTTAACGAATAAATACTATGCAATTATATGTAGACCGTATTTTGACTAACTAAAACTTATATATATATTTCTATTTTTTTCATTTGGTTATTTGTATTTTAATTTTTTTATGAGTCTTATTAATTTTGAAATTTAACTAATAACTGCTATGTAATTATATGTAGACCGTATTTTGACTAACTAAAACTTATATTAAAAAAAGGAATGTTAACTCGTCAAAGAATTGATCGTTAACGGTCAACCCTTTAATCGTTAAAATTAACGAGATAAGGATTACATTTGCTGAAAAAAATAGTAATAATTGAGGTTCTAATTAACTCAAATTGATAGTAAAGGCCCGGAATTGTAAAAACTTAATAGTTTGTGGGAAATTTTTGCCATCAAACCTAAATAAAAAATTAGCTACAAATGCTCGTCAACTGAATTAGTCCACAACTAAGCCATCTATTTCCGTAAAGAAGTTTAATTTTAAAAATAGTAAGTGATAATAATTGTTTAGCAAGCCAATTCCAAATTAAAGGTCATCACTAGTAGCAGGTTCCCAATTCAAATATGGCTCCCAATTGTTTCACAACAAATCAAATGTACATTTAAATTTAGCTCAAGTCAATGCACAACTTGATGAACCATGACGTGAGTGATGACTTATCAAGAGTTTTAAATTGCATTATTTACGTGAGCCTTTTCCGGTTAGATGCTAAGCACTACCCTAATAACACATAAAATATGGAAACTACTTTTGTTCTAATGCTAAGCCGGCCATATATAAATAGCCTCTTCATCCATCTCTGTGTAGTCTATATACAATCCTCTTATCTTCTTTAATATTTTCTTAGTTGTTGTCTCATTTACATTGAAAGCAAAGACAATGGAGGGAAGAAGGGTCATTGGTTGGGCAGCACGAGATCCATCTGGACATCTTTCCCCATATTCTTTCACTCTCAGGTCTCTCTCCCTGACACACACACACAGTCAGTTCCTAAATTTGTTTGCTAATTTTTCACTGTCCCAATAACAGGAAAACAGCTGCAGAAGATGTAGTGTTCAAAGTTTTGTACTGTGGAGTAGACCACACTGATCTTCATCAGATTAGGAGTGAGATTCACTCCACGAACTATCCTTTAGTCCCAGGGTGAGCTCCTTAACCTTTATAAAGTTCATACATTTAGTTGATCCCAAAATATGTGGAAAAAAAAAAACCAAAAAATTATCTGCCGGCATGATGAAGCCACTTTCTACGTAAAATGTCATCATCACCTACAGTGACATTTTATTCAACTATTGGTTGTTTTTTATTGAATTGAAGGCATGAAGTGGTGGGAAAAGTAGTAGAATTGGGCCCTGAAGTAAGGAAATTCAGAGTTGGAGACATAGTTGGAGTTGGGGGCATAGTTTGGTCTTGTGGGGAATGCTTGGCCTGCAACTCCAACATGGAGCAGTATTGCGACAAAAGGATCCTCACTTACAATGCCAAAGACATAGATGGAAGAACCACTCAAGGAGGCTACTCTTCGGCTATGGTTGTCCATCAAAAGTAAGCTAAATCTGGAAAACAACATTCTTTATTTCCCATCTCAAGTTCGAAGTAAGTTACTCATTTAAAAATTTGTGATGAACACAGGTTTGTGGTTAGGATACCAGACAAGCTTGCACCAGAGCAGGCAGCACCACTATTGTGTGCTGGGGTGACGGCTTATAGCCCCTTGAAACAGTTCCGCGGCTCTAGTAAGGTCATCAAAGCAGGAATTTTGGGCTTAGGTGGAGTTGGCCATGTAGCTGTGCTAATTGCGAAGGCAATGGGGCATCACGTTACTGTCTTAAGCTCCTCTGATAAGAAGAGGGAGGAAGCTTTGGAGCATTTAGGTGCTGATGCCTGTTTGGTGATCTCCAATGCAACAGAGATGGAGAAGGCTTCTAACACCCTTGACTACATTCTTGACACTGTACCTGTGGTACACCCTCTGGAATCCTACCTTTCACTCCTCAAGTTTGAAGGGAAGCTTATCATAATTGGCGCTGTTCCTAGGCCTTTGCAGTTTATTGCAAGTGATTTGATTCTAGGTATGCCCTTGCTCTGTGTATCTTTTTTAACACCATAATATATATTTCCATGATTAATTCGTTATTTTATGGTGGCATCCAGGGAAGAAATCAATTAGCGGGAGCTTCGTTGGGGGCATCGAAGAGACACAGGAATTACTGGACTTTTGGGCAGAGAGAGGCTTGACATCGATGATAGAGATAGTGAAGATGGATTATGTGAACAAGGCTTTTGAGAGAATGGAAAGGAATGATGTAAGGTATAGGTTCGTGCTGGATGTGGCCGGCAGCAACCTCGAATGATTCAGCCCTCCTTTCCTCTAAAAGTTTTCATTTTCTTTCATATTATGTGTCATGTAATGCAATCATAATTTTAAATATTGATATTGGTTAAAAAAACCATTACATCTTATCCTAGTATTAAAATAATGGTTATACCAACCGATGTCATAAATATATTAACAATTATTAATAAACTTTTTCTAATTCATATATTTTTAATAGTTTTAACTAATTAAGCAAATAATGTAAGTAATTAACTTAAGTATTATTAGAAATTTGGAATTGTGTAGGCCTAATACAAATATTCACAATATTAAATTGCACAAAATAAAAATATTAAAAAATACATTACTTATAGATTTAATAATAAATCTTTTGAAAATTAATAAAAAAAATTGACAGAATTAGTTTAAGTTGAAAATTACTTTTATGAATTCTCTATTTCTTAAGAAAATATTAAAAAAACAATTTATGGGATTTGGTAAGAAAATGTAAAGTTTAAAACAAATTGAGACTTCAAAAAGAATTGACTTTTGATTGTTTTGAAATGATTTTATGAAGTCAAAAGAATAACATAATATTTTAAATCGTAAAAGATGCAAATTTTTCTTTCAACATTTGATTGCATGCAATCAAATTCAAAAGACTGCCAGCCAACCCTTTGAATTTGCAGCCTTTAGAATAAATTATACGTTATTCTTTTTAGTTTTTATAAAAAAAATTAATTAGTCTTTTATATTTCAAAACTAATTATTGAATTTTTTTATATAAGTATTGACTATGTTTATTGTAATATATTTTATTTTATAAAATGTTTTTTTTTTCATCAATCTTTTCATGATGTAAATTTATCTTTTTTACTTTTTAAAATAGATTAGAAAATAACATAAAATTAAAAAGAACTAAATAATAGGCTTTCAAAACAAAAAGGGCCAACTAATTTATTTTTTAAAACTAAAGGAACTAATTTATAATTTACTCAATTAAAGCCTCCATTTGCAGGCCATTGAATTTGTGCAGGCAACAAACCTAAAATTTAGTAGAATAAACAATAAATTATACATTACTCCCCCACGTTAGATAAATGAATTAATTAGCCCTTAATGTCTTAAAAACTAATTATTTAACTTTTTTATCATTATTGATCATGCTTGATGTAATATATTTTATTTCACAAAATTTTTTTTTTCTATCAATCTTTTCATGATATTAAATTATTTTTTCCCTTTTTATTTTCTAAAAGAAAAAAATAAATTAGGAAATAATATAAAATGAATAAAAATAACTAAATTATTAATTTTTGAAATAAAGAGAACTAACTAATTTTATTTTATTTTTTCAAAATAAAAGGACTAATTTTAATTTATTCAGTCAAAGCTTGCAAATGCAAATAACAGCATAGCATTACATAACAGTAGCATCATTAATTTCTAATATCCCTATGAAACATCAGAACATCTAAAATACCAAATAACAACAGCTATTTTTAACACTACGGATGCAATCATTTCATATCTACAGCTCCACATCCTTGGATTATATTTCCATTCTCTATGTCTAGTGTTTGCCCATTTTTCCATTAATTTCCCTTTCAGATAATACGAATAACATCACCGAGTGGATAAATTCTGTAGCGAGCAAATCAGTGCTATATCAGTAAAGCAACCAACTGGTTAATGAAACCATTAAATGATTTTTATGCAAGTGTACAATCGTTACTTGTCCTGGCAAGTTGAGCATGGTTATGAGCTTCCCGCTCCATTTCATCCAATCTTATAGCAAAAAGTCTCAACTATTGCATTTCAATGAACTTATGTAGGCACAGAAATAATCTCATGAATAAGCAAATCAGTGAGCAACAGTCAATCTGTCATATCATGCAAACTGAAATGCAAGGTGAGAAAGTAAGGTGTGATTTGTAAACGTAGTCTAATTGCCGCTGTTAAAGTCTCAATTACAACTGCATATGGTTGCACCACTGACTAATGCACCAACAAATCTTTTAAAAATGTAATAACCACTGACAAATCCGTATATCGCCAACAAGCAGCCATCAGCATCGTACAAAGTTAGCTACCAAATTTTTTATACTAAACACCATCCCTTCCCCAGAGAAATAAAGAATAACAAATACTACTGTTACAACAACAATTGGATGCCCATTCCCCGTTTTGTTAAAGCAAATGATAGCATACCAATATGGTCATGTCAGCCCGCCACTGCCTTCATCCAACTTATGATGGCTAGAATAACAGGCATGATTAGAGCACAAAGAACAGCAGCTCACTAATCTTTTCCCTTTCCTTTGCCTTCAGAAACTTTAGATCCATCATAAGCTGAAAGAAAGAAAGTACCTTGGTTCTTCTGTAGAAATCTGCAAGACAATATATATTTTTTTTTTTTTGGGTCAAAGCATGACAATGGAAGTGCCTTATAATGAGGAAACAACAAATGTCTTGTTCCAGAAATTTGTTGATCCATGCATGAATTAAATACTCCCCTTAGAATCAAAGGCAGCAAGGATGAGCTTTCTAATAATTGCTTGAATGTGAAATGCATCTTTCATTAATTAATTCTATCCATTGATCATGCAATTATAGCTTGTGGAATTATTATTTCAGCTAATCCATCAATAAAGTTACTACACTTATTATGCAATGAGAACCTCATGAGGCAGAGAACCAACATTAAAAAGAATTAGCAACATCAATCATCCAGGAGTCATTTCAGTTTGAAGGAGCCATCTGATATGAAGCCAATCATCATAAAGATCAGGCCGGTGGTTGGGGTCAATACTTTTTCTCTTCATTTTTAATTTCAAATGGACTTCATTGTTTATTATTTTTCAAAAGAACAGGAAAATGCAGTTAATGGGCAAAGATGGAGCTGGTACTTGAGAAAGTCAAGTAATTTCTGCTGCAAGCGGGTTGATGTCTCCTCTTCAATGTTCACATAGGCCAAGAGCTCTGGTAATTTAACTGCAAAGAGGAAAAAGAAGTCAAGATGCACTTCTAAAATTTACATCGATATCTTCTAAAATTTACATCAATATGTGAACAGAATAAGTCTGAACAAATTAACATTGTGCTTAACTCCTAAAATAAGGAATACAGACACATGCACAGGTGCCCATTATGTACAAAACACTAGGTACCCATTGAACTGAGTTATGTATATCTCAGATTCTTGAAAGAAAAGTAGATGATCTCAGGTTCAGTGCTGTGAGATGTTCAAAGGAAATGCATTTCAAAATCAACTAGATTCGTGGATTCTACCAAGTGTCAATCAGCAACACAAGCCCACAGGACTCGGTTAAAATGTGAAAATAACATTGGAAAGCCTTTGAATAACCACCTATCAAATGCTTAGAATGTGAAAAACTGTAACCTGACCATGAGGGTGTCTTTAAACATTTAAGGAAAAACCATCCACGAAAGTATTTCCCAGTAAAAGAAATCATCAAATGGTGGTTTCCAAAAAGAAAATGATGCCCTCCATCAGGGTATTTCGCTTCAAAGGAAAAGTTTGTAGAAAAATGGACTTGCTATTGTAACAAATGATTAAGGCTAAAAAATAAAAAATAAAAAATCCTCCAAACGAAACACAAAGACGGCTATATAAAAGATGCTAATGTTAGCCTCCAGACACTAACGATTGAACTTGATTCCAGACAACAAAATAAAATACATTGTCACGAATACAACTCAACTGATGACCATATCAGCTCTCATTAAAGATTACTGGTCAAAAGCAATAGTTTCAACACTTTATCAAACAAAAATAAGATGGCCAAACAACTCAAGAATGCAAGACTTATAAGTAGCCAAAAAAACACAAGTGCTTAGGATAAGAATACCAAAGAGCCGCAGTAAATGTTCAGCACCATATATAGTCGATGGAGAGACATCGTTTTTGACAGTATCATGATATTGCTGACGCTCTTTTTTGTATAGGAGCATCACAGGCAATGCTTTGTCAAAATAACACCGCATGCCTTTCAAAATTTCTCCAATAGAATCAGTTATCCTGTGTCCAAGAAAACATAATCCATGCAACTATCATTGATGCAAATCAAGGCATGAACTTGGATCTTCAGTAAGAAAACATAATCCATGCAACTATTATTGACGCAATTCAAGGCATGAACTTGGATCTTCAGTAACAACAGAAAATGTGAAATAATTGCAGAATCAGCAAAATAATTGATTGATATCCACTTTCACATTAATGCCCTTTATGGATGCCCAAGTGAGCCCAGTTGTGACTTGTGGTATGCATAATCCCAGTTGCATTGGGAAAAACTAACTCTGAACCTCGAGCATATATCAGAATTAATTAGTCCCGTATATGCTCATCTCAATCTGGATCCCAGGCAATTCAGCCCTTCTGAAATGTTTCAAGTCTTAACATTTTATTACAACTCCTAATCAGTTTTTGCCTACTATTGGTCTGGCTTCTCCTTTTCCATTTTACTTCTTGATTCAAATTAAAAACTTTCTATGTCCTTCCTTTCAGGTAAGTCATCAACATCTTCACCAGTGACATTCCCCAGTAAGTCATCAACATCTTCACCAGTGACATTCCCCAATATCCATGGATAGAAGGTATTATTCATGGATCATACACTTATGTATGTTCATATAAATTTTTTTTTTTCCCTTTAAGAGAATCAATGTAAATTCTATTGAGGGATACGCTAGAAATTCTCTTTTAAAACATCTGAAAATTGATCTATCATTTGCCATTGGAACAAAGGCTAAGATCAATGTTTCGCATGTCCATGCAAACAAATATATACCAAAATAGCTGATGGGCAAGAAGAAAAAAAGAGGTTCTAGCATATGCAAATTATACTGATTCATGTAATTTCAGCAGAAGCTCGAAAAAAACTTACATGCCATCCTTCTTTGACATATATTCTAGGTACTTTGTCAAGATATCATCCACATTTGGGGATCGGGGAAGTTTAACAAGCTGCATTTAAAAAGATAAAGGTATTTTTAACAAATCAGAGTACTATATCATTAAAAAGAAGATTGAACTAAAACTCCATTGATAGAAAAGCAAACAGTTCTTGTTCCTACTGGGTTGAGATATCATATAAATGGTTCCTGTTCCTACTGGGTTTTGATATAATATTTGTACAGACTTTGGTACCTCAATAAAGAATGCTAGTTAGACATTAGAAAGGAGGCAATGGATTTTGATTGATCAAATAAATTGAGTTTTTGAATAATAGGGTCTCTTGGTTATTTTTTGTGTTTTCATTTGTGATGCAGGAGCTTTTAGAACTAATATTTTCCTTAATAACTTTAGTCTTCTTATTTAGTTTAGGAATCCTTATGCTATTTGGATTCTATAGTCTTTATAATTTTATTAGTGATTCCTATTCCTATATGGATCTGGGTTTAGACCTAGGAATATTATAAATAGGGCTGCCTAGCTTACTTTTCAGACATGTTTTATCATTTTTTATCAATCAGAATATGTTTTAGAGGTTGTCTATAAACCCTATACCTATTTTTCTACTTCCAGCTCCTATGTTCTTTTAGTGTTAGCCATCAATTTTCTTTTCTTTGCTGTTTTGAGTTACTTTCTATTCCCACACTATGTCAATTTGACATCTTGTCCAGCGTTAGGAAAATTTCACATTCTAGAAAGACATTCAACCAATTAACCAACACCATGGCAGAGTGTTGAATTATCTTCTACCCTGAAATGGGGATGCTATATAGCTTTCAATTTGTAAATAGCAAGAATACTTTGTCACAAATGCCATTACATGTAGCAATTTGCGCGTACCATGAGTATGTTAAGGTTAAGAAATAGCATTAAGACAGAACAAAGTCATATATCACAATAGTGAAGAAAAGCAAACAAGAATAATGTTCAGAAGAATATCTAGCAGTGATATAAAAAATCATAATCAAACAATGATTGAAAGAAAAATGCAAGCACAGGAAATCACTACAGGGGCGTAGGTCTTCACAATTTTACTTGCACAATTTCACAAGAATCTGATCCTTCTACCAAAAATCCAAAATCTTTTTCCATAAAACCTTTCAGTGTAAAATGCCAAATATTTTTTGGAAAATTTTCATGCTCTTGGGAAGGGACTATGGTCTTATCTTGGATGGGTTGGCTGTGTTAAAACGTATGGTATTCAGGAACAGCAAAGGTTTCAAAGGACAAACGTTGATATTAGGATTTTCAGCAAAGAACGATATTACATTTGATTGATATTTGTTTTAAACCCAAATAAACCCTGAATCGTTTATGTAAATAAAAGACATTTTCTCTAAGATCCAATAAATAAATAACAAATCTTTTATGTAAAAAGCCAAACCTTAACCCTTTAATCATAAAAATTACAACCAGAACAGATAAATTGGCTGCATTGCTCATTAAGCATTACAGAGAAGCTGGCTTGATTGCAAACTAGAAAATAATAGCAATTATAATCATCAAGATATAGAATTTCTGAGTTAATTCTTTAACAAGTAGAATGTATGCACTATAGTGTTGATAGCCTCGTAATTAAGACAGCAAGAGGGATGATTTAAATTGAACGTAATTCAAGGGTAACAGGACTGCCAAAAAAGAATGGGGTCAAGGTAAAAAAGGTGTTTCGTCCAAAGGCTTATTCACCAGATTGTATGTAAAAAATGCCAAAGAAAAGATTATGGTAACACATTGAAATGATTGGATAGGCTGGTTGACTTGTAAATTAAATGTATGCAGGGTTATAATCATCAGAGCAAAAACCATTAAGCTATGTGGAAATAACTGAACTTTATGGCTTCTATGCTAACATTATCTAAGTACAATCATTTTTGCATAATGAATACAATATAATAGCAATAGGAAAAAATATGTGAATACCTTATCCTGCTGGGTGACAAATTCCCAATCATCAACAAGTTGCTTTTTTAGTGTTGATGGAATTTGGATCTTGACAAGCTTTTCTACAGGCAAATTATCCTTCTAACAATTTCAAACCACAATATTAAGAGAAATCTCCAAGAACTTAAGAAGAGCAAAGAGGAACACTTGAAATTTCTGAAAAGGAGGATCTGACTGTAAGCTTATGCATATTTTCAGTTTGGCCTTCAGTGAATACAAAGCAAGAAAAATTATAATCCCAAGAGTAGTACTCTTCAATTGCTTTTTTTTTAGGCTATTAATTGATGTGAACATTAAAAATTTGATCCTTGCATTATAGAACAGATTGGAGCAGCAACAAAATATAGCAGGCCAAAACTGTTGTCCAACAAATACTACACAAATTAAAAGAAGTGTGCTGACACACCATATGAAATGATATATGAAACAAACCTCAATGCCTGAATCACTTTTACGCTTCTTCCCTTTCGACACTGCAAGAAGCATTGACAATTCATAAAGACAAATTTCTGTCTTCACAAGAATATATCTTTTAAGAGGCAAATTGAAGATCACCACAGGTAAAGGGAAAAAAAAACACCAAATATAAATGCACCTTATTTCGATCTGTCAAGACGGGAAGAATGCAATAGAATAAAAGCCAAGTAAATATGCCCATAACTTTGGCAAGCATGAAATTAAGAACTAGCATTTACTAGCAAAATGTTTGTAATGGTGTACTACCTAATGTAAGTCGATATGGCACAAGATGAAATAAAATGAAGCTGAGAAACAAGAAACAAAACAAAGCCTAAGACCAACAGATAGCAATGCCAAAGTCAAAGCTCCATATAAAGTCTTACTGTACTGGAAAAGATACGGTAAATGCAATGAATCTTTCAGTAAGAAATCAAACTACAAAATTCCTTTTTATCTGCTTTTTGGAGAACACCTGCCCTGAATTCACAGGTGTAAGCCTGATACGACAACATCTATACAAAGAAAATAAACAGCAAAATAAATCTAGGACTAGCAATTTATAAAAAGCAGAATAATAATACCACCTTTTGGCAAGATTTCTAAAGGAGAATAATGAAAACCAATATTCACTTAATTAAAGAATGAAAACTGTGCTTATGAAGTGGGAAAAAAGGGAAGATAAGGGAACGAACCATTGCTTTTAGGATCTTCCTTGTCCGTCTTTGAATCTACAAAACAAAAACTAATTTTGATAAAATAGAAACAATTATGAGCGCAACTATCACTTGGCAGTTTCATAGTAATAACATTGGAAAGATATCAACACATGCATCTGACTATGAAAACCTGAACAGGCATTGAAGGTACCTTGTATACAAGCACAAAATGAAAGTTATGTCCCCAAGTTATATGTCTTGTGTAGATATAACAGTAAGAGTTATTGAAAAGAGAGATCATCAATTGAGTATTTCCATTGACCTGAGAACTAATAAGCCGATTCCCTCGGGAAAAAAAGGAAGATAAGAAAGGTTTCAAGATGACCAACAGTCGCACAGAGATTTGCACACACCACAAGCTACATGAACAGAACTGATAGAGAATCTACATTTGGACTTTTAAGGCTTCCATTTGAAAAAACATATAAATGTATAAGTAAACAAAAGCCTACCAGTAGAGTTTTTTGGCTTTGTTTGAGAAGAACGTCCAGGCTTCGAACTCTTGTCTACTCCTTGTTTTTTCTCCAGGGCTTGCTGCTTCGAGACATTGTCTGGAGTATGTTTCATTAGTCGGTCCATGCCTACCCATTCGTCCCAACTGTTGGCAATATGTCCAACCCACAGTAATGATTTCTGTGTCCCTTTTTGAAACAGGGTATATTTATTAATGAAAGAAAACTTTCTCCGGACAAAACATAAAGAGTTTCGAGAAACCTTTCAGTGGTAACATGAACCAATTCTCAAAAGAGGCTAATTAATAAAATAAAAATAATGACAATAGGACCAAATGTTTAGATGAAAAATATACTACAAGAGGTTCAATCAATCAAAACCAGCTGAGACATAGAAGAAACATCAAAGACAAGATTTTGTGCTTATAAGTTTTAGCTTCTCTTTTTCCTGTCCAATTGATGATTTATTATTATCATTATTATTATTTTACGATAAAAAATTCCTTTGATTTTGTTTTCATGTTATATCTGCTAATGTTAATCTAAGAAGATAATTGCCAAATCAAAAGGCAGCTAAACCAACAAAGATCCTCAAGAGTCGTGTGTGTTTGTGTGTGTTACAACACCTGCTGACCAGGCCTATAGTTACTGGCAAGCCATAACTATTCTAGCTAGCTAAATTTTCTAATAGGACAATAGTTTCCTACTTCCCTAATGAAGCGTTTATTTAAATGTTTCTTTACCTATTTTTAATGTAACTCATACACAATCATTTCAATTTGTCTTTCAACTGGTATCAAATCCCCCCACCCCCAACCCCCTTCTAAACAACCCTTTCTTGTCATTATGAACCTTGTCAATACAATAAATTATAATAATAAACTAATAAAAGGACAAGATAAAACAGTATTTCATAAATAATTTTAGAAATGATTAAAAACACCTATTTAGTGGGAGAAACTAGTTAGAGAAATTGTGGAAGGATTATGACAAACTAGGTTGCACTCAAAACAAGGTTTATGGCTGTACAGAATTAAGATCATAAGCTCTTACAGACAATATTAAAAAAAAAAAAAAAAAAAATAGAGAGAGAGAGAGAGAGAGAGAGAGACAAACCATAGCATCAACAGAAGAAAAACATAGAACTAGAAAAGTAGGTCTTCACTTAAAGAAATTTTAATGACTTTTAATTTTGGAGAATCTATTGTGATAAGATGAGTAAGATATGGGGAAAAATTAAAAGTGAAAGAGAGAGAAAATAGAAAAGCTGTTAAGTTTAAGGAGGGTTAAGTCTAAAGGAAAGTCGATTGTGTTTATTAGGTACATGGGAAATAAGTACACAAAAGTTTAAATGAGTGCCACATTAGGGAAGTAGGAAATTATTGTCCTTTAAAATAAATAAAATTCACATGTGGTGCACGAGTGGATATTGGAAGGCTCATAGATTTTACAGATGCAAATCCTACAAAACAGAGTAATTCTATGTATTGATTTAAATTTAGTCAATTTAAGAAATGCAGGAAAGAATTATATAAAGGAGAAGTAAATTCTCAAAGTAATTTGATATTTTTTTTAATATAGAGGTTTATTTTCTTCTATTCACAGTTATCTTACCAACCAACTATCCCTAGTCTCCTCACTTTCCTAATTTGGTCCTCTCCCTTGCCACTAACTATTTTATGTGAAGTTCTAACAAAAGTGCTTAATTCCGTCCTTGCAAATCCATCACATATTCCATATTACTGCATACAAATGAGAAATTCAATGTGTCAGCTTTTATTAAAATTTCTTAGAGGATGGTAATATAAGTCTTAATACATATTGAAATTAGAAAGTATAAGACTTGCAACACTATACTTCTATCTGTATTCAGTCAACCTAGATAAAAACTGCAAGAAGCAGCCACCACCACTAGAATGCCACCATTGTGCTGATGGCTGGCAATTTCCCAGAAGTGCAATGGACATTAACTATAACAATCATGAAAAGAACAAAATAGTTATCTAGTTATTTACTATCTTCTATTGTCAGTTTTATAATGTGCCATAGTTTTTGCTTCACTTCTTGAAACGTCTTAATATCATCCTAACTTTTGAACAGGAAAGTAGGGGGAAATCACATCATGAATAAATGAAGCTTCCAAGATTTTTAACTTATACTAGTTTAGATTGAGAAAAAAAAAAAAGGTAGAGAAAATGACCTCGCAATGTTCCACTCTGACCTATTAAGTTCCAAAATCTCAGCTCAAAATATATAGTAATGGAAACAGAACGAAAAGCATACTCACTTTTTATTCCAACCCTGTAAAACAGCAGATAGCACGTCATTTCATAGCATAACAAGGAAATACTATACTGTTTAACTATTCAGTGGTTCATGCTTTCAAAATTGTACGACCAGAATAGGTCATTAAGAAAGGAATAATTAGGAGAAGCTTACAAGGTAGTGAACAAAGTATCTCCATTCCTTCTTACGGAGTTCAGCTTTTTGAACCTAAGATTTAAAAGAAGATAGAAAAATATAGAGTTAAAATGCTGCGAATGAAAAATATATAACAAGCTGTAAAAAGAACTCAGAAAATACAACATTTTAATGCAGATACCACAAACATTACTTCCAATGGAAAACCAAATCTCATCTTCAGCAAATCCAAAATCAAGACAAAATTTTAAAATGCCTTGATTATTGCATGTGATTCCCTAGCGACTCAAAAACACTTGCATCTCAATTTCATTAGAAAGTACAATAAAAAAAAATTTGAAAAAACAACACTTGTGAGCTGGAAGGGTCGCATCCATAGACGGCAACACTACTTTCCACAATCAATTACAGAAATTTGGAGACTGCCGCAACTACAAATCACAGTAAAACTTACTTAGTTCAGTTGAAATCCCGAAAACCAGTAATTGTATCCTAAAATGACGGACAAATTAACTGGTTACGCTGAAAAATCAAAATTCCAACCCCTATAAACCCTAATTTCAACAATAAGTTAATAAAAAACCCTTAAATTTCCATCACTCTCGCCTCTATTCTTTACCACAGATTTCCATTCAGCCCAACAAAATCACAATTAAACACTAAAACCACCGAAACCAAATCAAAACAAAACCTAAAATAAACAATACGCCAATTTAAAAAGAAATCGGAAATAAGCATCAGTTGTAAAATCCTAGGGCACAAATAGACAAAAATAAAAAAAGGAAAGATCTTTTTGGGGGGGATGCCTTGGCCTTGTAGATGCGAGGGCCGTGGTAGGCGAGGACGCGTTCGCCTTCGGAGAACAGACTGGAATTAGAAGGAGTTTTGTCGCCGCTTGAAGCCTCGGCGTCGCTGCCAGAATCGTCCTTCGATGAGCTCCCCATTTCTCGCTTTCACTGAGATCGAGAGAGAGAGGGGCTTGATCTTTCTGCTTCCGTCTCTGGTGAGAGTGGTAGATACGACTGGTCCCGGTAGTTCCGCTTTTCTTTGGGAGTTTGAAAATAAGGGGGAGCGTGTTTGAGCCCTTTTTTTTTTTTTTCTCGCCTCGCTTCCTTTTTTTTCACTTCAGAATAAATATTTCAAACTACGGACTTGTTTGCATGACTTGCTCGAACAATTGGAAAGCTGGCATAGTGAATACTACGTTTTTTTGCTCGCATTAACTACGGATATAATAAAATATATAAAATTATTTTAATTTGATAATTTGTTTTATAATATAAATGTATAAAAATATATGAAATCAAAAGTAACAAAAATATTTTAAATTTTTTAATGTAATTTAAAATTAAATGGATGAGGATTTAAAAAAAAATGACAAATTAAAGTAGTAAATTTAAAATAAAAATAATCAACAAAAAAATTTCATTTAAAAATTAAAAAAATATTGTATAAATTATAATAATATAGTTAAAAAATAAAAAACTGACGTTTTAAAATTTCATTTCAAAATTCATATATTAAAAAAATAAAATTATTAACAAATAAAATTAAATCAAAAAATTATTTTTATGTGAATTTTAATAAGAAATAAATAATTAAAAAATTAAATTTAAACAATAAAAGTAAGATAATCGTGTGTGTGTGTGTGTCTATATATATAAACTTTACGGAGAACTAAAAAAATAACGATTTATTTTATATATATATATTGTAGACTTTTTCTTGATTGTGTTTTTTTCTTCTTTATATATATATATATATATATATATATAGAGAGAGAGAGAGAGAGAGAGAGAGAGAGAGAGAGAGAGAGAGGGAGGGGGGCGGGCCGCTTGGTTGCAAGCCAACCAAGGAGGCGCGCGTGGTTGCAAGCCAACCAGGACGGGCGTCTGGTTAGCTTGTGCAACCGAGTTGCACATATTAAAAACAAAAAAATGTAAGGGAGGCCAAGCATGGTTGGCCTCTACAAGCAAGCCAGCGCCCTGGGCTCGCCATTACAAGCTCGCACGCCAAGCTTGCTTGTCGGACAAAAAAAAAACAAACAATCAAATAAACTTACAACTTTCAATGAACCCGAGGTCGTCGGAAGTTCGTTGAAAAATTGAAGATCAACTTTCGGACCCTTAAAAATTGAATTTTGGTATCATTTTTTTCCCAAACACCTTGAAATGATCGGAAATTAAGTCAATTAATACATCTAAAACCTAAAAAATTATTTTAATTCACACAAAAAAAAAACAAAATCAAATCGGATTTTTTTTTCCTTTTTTGGCTCGATCTACCTCCTCTAATTGTTTAATGGCTTGAAACCACCATAAACAAATTCATCTCTTAAAGATAAAAAAATCTAGCGATTTTCGCCGACGCAGTAGCCTAAATGAGCTTGGCGGTGTTCTCTCTCTCCTCCCGTATCTCTCTTCCTCTCAGCCTTCTCTCTCTACCTAGGGACCAAAATGGATGAACAAATGAACATATGGATCGAAATATGCATTCAAAAATATCGGGGACCAAAGTGTAAAAAAAAGCTATGAATAGTGAAAGTAACAGATGAATTGTAAGAGGGTAAATAGTGAAATGTGAGTGTTGACCTTGTGTTTCAAATAGCATAGCTACGATAAAATTGTGTTTTCCTTTAGTTTATTAGTTAATTTGAAGACATTAATCTAACAAGAAACAGCTTGCTTTACTCTTTTGGAGTTAAAAGATTTTATAATTGGACATTATTTTTTAAGATCTTAAGAACTCTCCAACTAAATTTTTTTTTATTTAGTCTTTGTAAAAACTTTAAAGTCGTATTTTATTTGAAGTATTTGCTTTCCTTTCCGGTTTTAATTAATATTTTTTTATTATAGTTAAGGACTAAATTCTACGTAAATCATTTTTTTATACTTGTATTGCTAGTGGGTTTAAGTCTTAAAATAGTATAGATAAAGGAAAACCTATATTGTAATGTAATTTTTTAGTCTGCTATGATACATGATTTCAATACAATTTTTTTTAAAAAAAATACTCTTTCACAATTTACTTTCTGTTTTTTCTATTGCACTATCTACGTTTATTTTTCTTTACTGACTTTTTTTTACACACTTTATTTGCAAGCTTTCAGTTTATTTAATTGTTTATTTTTTTCAAGCAATTTAATGTTTTCTCTCGTTTTTTTTTACAAGTACTTCGCCCAATATAAACTCTATATAGCTTACTTATATAATTCTCTATAACTTATTATTTAGCACAAATTTTAGATTTTATTTAGTCTAAACCTTTAGGTTTATCTCGTTGATTATTTAACATAGATAAACATGTTTATTACTCAATGAAAGCTTAAATATATTTAAAATTATGTGGTTCTTATGATCGATATAAGTCTTTAAGACTTATTCATTAGTTTAATTTATTATTATTATTTTATTTATTTTATTTGCTAAATTCAACACAAGTGTGTATGCTCTATTTGGATAGTTTTTTTTTTTTTTTTAACGTAGGATGGCTTCGCTAATCCTTGTTGATTTGAATTTATTATGCCCAAGTTTCTAAAAAAATTTGCAATCTAGCTTGATTGTGAGGTAATTGTCACATCTCCATGAATTGAATTCTACGTAATAAAAAAAATATTCCATTTTCTTGACGAAAAAGGAGATATTTATATTGGCAACATTTATCTTTTTCATTTCCTTTGTTTTTCCTTCTAATTCCTTTTTTTTTTTTACAATTTAATTAGACCCCTCCCTACATGTTGCCTAGAATTGTATGTGTTCATCTTTTTTTTATTATTTGTTCAAAAAATATATTTTTTGTATTAAAAAGAATATTGTTTTCAAGAAAAGTGTAAGTTATTTGGTTGGATGTTAAAAAAGTTTAAGGTTGATATGTAGTATTGAGAATGTCAAACATTTGATGTAGTTTTCTACTTTATGTCAATAATTATGAGATGTAAATGTAGATTTAATCAATAATCTAAATTAAGAAAGATATGCTTGTAATTAGTTATTAATTTCTTATTCTTATGGATGGTCATTTATATAAGAAGCATTTTAACATCATTTTTTTAAATCAATAAAGTTTTCTATCATTTCTGGATGGCTTTAGAGCTCTACCAATCCTTTAAAAAACATTAGCCTATCTTTAAACCTTCAAATTCTAAAATTTCCAAATTAGGCCGAATATAACTCCCCTAAATTAGTAAATTTTTCTTCAATTCATGTGAAATCTTTCATTCTAAATCACTAATTCAGACCTAAATAAGACATAATAAAGTCCTAAAATACCAATTGCGTGGAAGAATTAAAAATCCCTAATTTAAACATTTGGGTCAAATGGTAACAAGGAAAAACAATCCTAAGAATTTTTGAGTTTTAATCCTCAATTTCAAGCCTAATCAACTTATTTCAATCCCAATTTCATGATTTTCAAGTCAAAATTCGTTTTTACCAAATTAGGTCAACAAGAAACCTAACCCTAATTTTTCTCAATTTATGAAATTAATCAAATCAAAGCAATTAAACACAAAATTGGCATGAAATCAAGCTTGTTTATGGTCTAGATGAAGTTAACTTACTTGTTTAAGCTTCAATTAGACTTTAAAAAGGTAAGTTCTTGAAGGATTTCTCTTTTTCCTTTTTTCCTCTAATCTTCTAATTTTTTCCTTGAGAATTTTCAGCTTCCCACTTGAAATTCAAGCTCCTTCCATTGATTAGAGGTGCTTAAAATTTATTAAAAATGTTTTGGATGATTTTTAAGTGAAAATTTTACACGAGTTTTGTTTGGGTTTTTCTATTTTCTTGCCATTTTTAGTTTTTTCAGCTATAATATTTATAGGAGGACTTTGTGGACATTTTTACTTGATCTTTAGCCTTAATTTGGGTGAATCTCAATTCTTAATTCATTTTGCAATTATTTATTTGCAATTGTTCCAATTTTTCACCATTTATTTACCTTTTTATTTAACCCTTACACCTTGCTTTTTTTTTTTTTTTCATAATTGCTACTGCAAGTCGACCTCATTGATTTCCTGCAGTTGGTCAAATGTGGGAGGAAAGTGACAAGTTTTGATCCTCCAAGTTTCTAGACTTTTCCATAGCCCATTCTTTCATAAATCCGTCTTTTTTGCAAAAACTCATTTCTAAACCTCCATTTTTAATGTTTTGGACTAATTTTTTACCTTAACATTTCTACATAATTTAATTTGGATTATTATACTTTTAATTTATTACAATCGAGTCCCTAATTTTATACAATGTAGTCCCTACTCGTTAAAATTCCATTCTATGCTCTTCAAAAATCCAATTTCTTTTTAGAATAAATTCAAACATTTATTAAGGGAGTTTAGTTTTAAAGTTCATTATTTTTGGACCTTATTTGAGCCTCTAAATTAATTATTTAGTATGAAAATTACACTATTTCCTATTAAAAATATTCCCCATACTTAATAAAATTAATTTAATTTTTCTAGGCATTATCACACGTCATATATGCTTATTCTATGCTCTTAAAAAAAAATTTCTCATACTCTTAAGGTGCCTAATTAAATTCTTTACCTCTAAAAGAACTATTTCTACTCATCAACATTCAAATAAAAGTATTTATAGCACATAATACAATTCACATAATCACACTTAATTATTCAACACCCCTTTAACAAATATTCTAAGTAAATAAAATATTTTTCATGCACCTTCAACATGCTCAAAGTAATTATTTCATGTAAAGGTTACTATTCATGCACCCAAAAATAACTAAAATAATCATTAGGCATAAAAGCCCACCTAAACCCTTCTAAATATTCTTTTAAGTCTTTATAGGTTATTTTGTACCTATAAAATATTTCTCATACCTATTAGATATCAAATTTTTATATAATTTTATTTTTAGTGGTTACCGAGTGTTACGGAGACACTATTGGGGTGTCTATCATGGTGTGTGAATGATCGAATCGGAGGTGGGG